GCGAGGCCCCGCCCCGTACCCCTGCCCTCGTCAAAGCCCCGCCCCACAGCAACTAAGCCCCGCCCCAAGCTCCGCCCCATCAGAGCTCCGCCTCGCGCCCCTCCCCTCCGGCCTCAGCCTGTCCCACACGCTGCCCCCTGCCGTGCGGGCCACGGGCTGCCACGCCCCACCCCAAAGCCCCTCCCAACCAGCCCTGCCCTCACACCTCTCCGCGGCCCGCATCAAAGCCCCGCCCCGGCCCCGCCCCCTCAGATACCACTGCCCCAGGCCCCTCCCCGCAGCCCCCAGCCTGCCCCCTGCCTTTGGCCGAGCGTAACAGCCGGGTCGCTGCGTCTTCCTGCGTCCTTTCTTAAAAGGGCGATGGCCCGGCCTCTCGCCGGCGTCAAGCACCCCAAAGCACAAGCGGGAGCTGCAAGAGCCAGCCCAGACGTGTCCAGCCGCGACGACCGTGGGGCCCTCCCTCCCCAAGATATCCCCTACTCTGGGCTCTCGGGCCCCCATCTTCCTTCCGCCTGGGACCCAGGTCCACCCCGTCCCGGGGACTTGCTTCTTGCCAAAGTGTCAGGCTTGAAGAGGTCAAGGGCTGCGGAGGGGGTCAACAGTGCCCTCTCCTGCACCCTCCTCCAACTCTGCTCAGCCCAGGAGAGTGGGGAAGGAGTGATGGGAGAGGACCCTGGCGACCAGATGGGTGAGCCTCTGGGTCCTGAATCGGCAGCAGAAGGGAGGCTGGGGAAGGACAGAGTGGCTGTGCAAAGACGTGGCAGGAAAGTGAGCATGGGGTGGGCAGTGTGTGGAGGGCCGGGAGGCCATGCAGCCCCAGCCCAGGGGAGGGTAAGTGCGGTCCTGGCTGCAGGGTTTTGTATGCAGGCTGGGTTGGACTTCACCCCGTGGGAAGCAGGGAGCCCCTGATAAAAGTGTTCTTAGGAAAACACCAGGAGCTCTGGTAGCGTAGTGCTTAAGGCACTTGACTGCTAACCAGAAGGCTGGCGGTTCAAACTCACCAGCCACTCCTCGTAAGGAAGATGGGGCAATCTACTTCTGTAGTGATGCTGCCTCGGAAACCCAAGGAGGGTCGCTATGAGTCGGGTCTGACTTGATGGCACATAACAAAAACAACAGGGAAATATCTGGGCTGGAGATAAGAAGCCCAGTCATATCACAGAGAGGAGTGCGGTGGTGGTCCACGCGGACAGGAAGGTGGACAGCTGCACGCTGTTGACCTCTGCAGGCACTGCCCTTCAGACAGGATGGGGCCTTCTGGGCCAAGCACTAGGTCCCAGGGCTGGCTTCAGCACCCTCTGCCAGGGCCCTGCCTGGACGCAGGCTTCCGCAGGGCCTGTCCCCTGCCCCAGCAATGCCAGCAGCAGCCCCACTCCAGGGAGCTGGAGGCTGTGGGGCGCAGACATTTCCAGATGAGATGGGGAGGCTGTGTGTGACAGAGCCCTGGCGGCGCTCAGCTGTTAACGTCAAGGGCAGCAGTTCAAACCCACCCGCCCCTCCACAGGAGACAAATGTAGTGGTTGGCTCTGTAAAGGTAACACCTTAGAAACCCATGGGGCAGCAGGTTTGCGTCTGACATCCACAAACACACCTGGAAAGGAGAGGTCACGCTCAGGTCTCCGCTCCTGACGATGCAGCTGCGGAGGGTGATGCCTCATCCTCCTGGAACAAGATGCCACCGTCTGCAATTTCCACCAGGTGAGGAGACGGGGGCCCAGAGGCCACTGCCGCCATCTCGATCCTAAAAGGACACCCCCACACTGCCTTAGGATGTGCTTCAGGACAGAGATGCCAGCTTGTGTCCCCAAATGTCAGGGGTGTCCCATGTGTGCTCCTGATGGGAACTTGTTTTCCTGGGGGTTGCCAGGGGTCTCCGAGGTTCTTCCCAGGGGCTTCACTCCTGGATGTCCTGATGAGACACCTCCCCTATGAGATCTGCCCCACCACCAGGACCCTGGACCCCCCCTTCCCCCAAGTACCCCAAATCAGGCGAGGCATTCTCGTCCCTGACCCCAGTATTTCACACACACCCTTGCCGTGCTTCCAGCCTTCTCCAGCCCCCAACACCCTTCCTTCCTTCCTGCTCTCTGCACAGATGCTGCATTGGCCCCTTTCTCAGCAGGGGGCCCATCCCAGCAGCACCCTCGTCCCCATGTTTCCCTCCTCCAGGTAACATCACAGGGACAGTAAATCCCTCAGGGGTGACCCCTGGCCCCAGCACAGAGGGCCGAGCTAGACTTTCTGAGCTGGACTGTCCTGAGCCGTGGGTCTCAAGGCCTCCTCAGGGTTTCTGGCTCAAGAGTGGATGCGTCAAGCCCAGAGTATTGGATACAGCCTGGGACCGAGGGACAGACGCCTCCAGTGGCCAGCGGGCTGCAGAGGCATCTGAGCCACGTCACAGACGGGCATCAGGCCCAGGACCCTGCCTCACTGCACAAAGCCCGGAGCTGGTGGATAGGCTTGCTGCCCTGTGGCGGTCACGCCCAAGACCCCCAAGCCCTCAGAGCCGCTGGGGGTGCTCTGGCTGTGAAGCCCTCTTCAGCAGTTCAGAGACCAGGGGTCCAGCGCATGGGCTGGGACGTCTTTCTAAAGCCTTTGGTTTAGTAAACAAAGGAAGCAAAGCTGACCTGCAGCCGTCCACTGCCTGTCCCATCTCAGGGCAGAGCTGTCCCTCCCTGAGCTCGTGGCTGGCTCAGTCAGCCCCTCTCCCTCTCTCCTCCTGGCTCTGTCTCCCCGCCCCCCGCCTTCTCTGTGTCTCCCCCCTTCTGTCTCCTTCTCCCTTCCTGTGTCTCTCTCCTCCTGTCTCTCTGCCTCTCTCTCTTCCTGTCTCTCTGTCTCCCCACTTCCTTCTCTGTCTTCCCCTTCTCTCTCTCTCTCCTCCTCTCTCTCTATGTCTCTCTGTCTCTCTCTCTCCTCCTGTCTCTGTCTGTATGTCTCTCTCTCTCTCCTTCTGTCTCTCTCTCTGTCTCCTCCACCCTCCTTCTCTCTGTCTTTCCCTCTCAATTCCCAGCAAAGATCTTGGAACCCAGCAAGGGCTCAGCAATGTCACCACTGAATGACTTAGCTGAGTTACTGGGTGTTTGAAGGATGAACTAACAGGCCATCTCAAAGCCCCAGAGTGTGGCTTGAGACCTGAAAGTCTTCTCAAAGCCAGTGGCAAGTGTGCCCCTTCTCCTCAGGCCTCAGGGCCGACCTCAAGGGCCTGCCGCAAAGGAGGTCCCTTCAGGGCTCCAGCTTCATCTCCAAAATGCCCGGGCATCCCCTCTGTGCTGGACTGGCCATCAGTGAAGATTGGTGCCCTGTTCTAAACGGCTTGCCAGTTAGAGTGTTTGGCTCTCCCCTGCACCTCCCCTCACCTCTCAGGAGCAGTGGCACTGAGGAGATGTCCCAGGTTCCCCCAGCCCCATGTTTTATTTAACCTCATCCTCATGCGGTAGATGACTGGGCTAGGGGGTGAGAAGCCCTGTTTGGAAGAGGCAGGTGAGCCCCGCGCTCCAGGCGCGTTCCCAGCCGCTGGCTCTGTGTGGGCTGCCTACAGGGAAGGGCCGCCTGGTCCCCGGGGGGGGCACAGGGGTGTGGCCACAGGAAGTTTGTGGACTGCTGCCCACCCCCAAATGCCCTGCCTTCCTACCCCCAACACTCAGACTTCTGCTGGGCTTGCAGGGGCTCCAGGGCTTGCCCAGAAGCACTTGATCAGCACACCTCATGCCTTAGCCCCGGCCCGTGATGGTCGGGAGTGGACACATGACTGAGTTGGTCAGTCACAGTGAATGCCAAGCCTTTTGCTGCAGATGCTCGTACAAAGTCACTCTTTTTCTTTCAGGATGTGAATGAGGGAGTTTGCAGTCTTAGGAGCTGCTGGCAGCATCTTGGGTGGGACCTTAGGATGAACAGAACTCATGGAGGAAGAACACAAGAAGTGACCTGGTTCTTGGCACTACTGTGCAGCTGCTGGATCAAGCCTTGCCTGAAAGCCCGATTTCCTCTGGCCTTTCATCACATGAGCCAATAAGTTTCTTTTGTTGTTAAGCCATTTGGGGTTGGGTTTTCTGTCTCTAGCAACTAGATTTGAGAATTTCAGAGTCAGGCAGAGACTCAGCTGAGATGGACATGGAGGGGTTAATGTAAGGAAGTCATCCTGGGCACTGGGGCTGGGAAGCTGGTCCAGGCCTAGTGTGTCCTCAGCTAATGTGGCGGAGGGTGTGTGGTACAGTGACATCCCTTGGTGCCCCAAGATTGAGGACAGCCAGAGCTTTGCATGGAACGGGGTGCTTCTGGCAAAAGACACAGCCTCTCCTGTTAGCAGGGCCATGGGTCCCAGCATCTCTTCTATGGCCTCTGTCCCAGCCCCGGTTCACCCTGCACACTGTTTGGAGGCAGCAGCTGAGGGGTGAGCTGGGCTGGCGCTAGCTAGCCTTCTCTGCCCCTGCAGGTAGAACCGAAGGTCACACCAAACCCTCTCCCCAGACACAGCCGATCCAGCAGGGCCTGGCAGCGACAGGTGAGCAGAAGACAGGTGTCCCTGGGAGGGGACACCAGGCCAGTGTGTGTGGGTCAGCCTCCCTGCACCAAGGAAACAGATTAAAGCAGTAATGACAACCCACCTATGCTTGGGGCCCAAAGACAAGCAGCCTGAGAGCACCATTGCATGGACTGCAGGGAGACCCCCTCCCCCCTCCCCCGACACGGAGGACCCGGGACAGAACCTTCCAGAACTCCCCCAGTCCCTCCGCTTGCAGACTCGCTGGTGCAGGTGTGCACGCACGCAGAGAGAAGCGTACGGAATGCCCGCACAGCCTGGAGTGTGAACATTGTCTCAGAACCAGTGTCCCGACGCGACCAGTTAAAGAGATGACGACATGCGGCGGCAGTTAAGAA